AATAAATAAAGAGAAATAATTTTTTTTTTAAAGATGAAGTCAAGTAGCTTCGAAAGAGATGAGTTTTCAGCTGTCGCTTGAAAATTGTCAGGGATTCAGCATTCCGGATAGGGGTGGGAAGATCGAGGCGTTGCTCACTAGCGGATCTCAGACTTCTGAAGGGGATGTAGATTCGTAGTAGTGAGTGGAAGTAGGCGGGTGCTGAGCCTGTGGCTGTTCTATATGCAAGCATCAGTGTCTTGAACTTGATTCGAGCCGCAACCGGTAGCCAGTGCAAGGAGATAAAGAGTGGTGTAACATGGGCTCTTTTGGGCTCGTTGAAGACCAGCCGTGCCGCTGCATTCTGAATCATTTGTAGAGGTTTGATTGTGCTTGATGGAAGTCCAGCCAGAAGAGCATTGCAGTAGTCCAGCCTAGAGATGACAAGGGCCTGGACAAGAAGTTGTGCAGCATGCTCCGTTAGAAAGGGCCTGATCTTTCTGATGTTGTGCAATGCAAACCTGCAAGATCGAGCAGTCTTTGCAATGTGGTCTTTGAAGGTCAGCTGGTCATCGAAGATTACACCAAGATTTCTGATCAAAGTCGATGGGGTAATTGTCAAAGAACCTAGCTGGATGGAGAAATCATGCTGTAGAGTTGGAGTGGCAGGGAAGACACAAGTTGGGTTGAAACAACCCAGCATTTTTTAGAGTGTAGTGAAAGTGCTGTCTGAGATTGAGTTACTTAATGGTTAAGGGTGCTCACTATGTTTGTCTAACAGGAATGCTCTTCCAGATCCATGTGTTGTTGTTTAGTTCCACATATTGCTCAGTGGAAACACATCCACTACACTTTGGATTGAACTATTACCAAACCTCCTCCGTATCTGATGATGGATTCAGAAAGGTTGGTGAGATCATCTTCATGATGACCAAGAACACATGCAGAACCAAATGAGCACATCACAGCTGACCAGCCGTAAATCAGCTCTGCCTCTCATTCAGTTCCTCCTCTCTCTGTCGCTCCTCGAGGCCGGTTTATCTGTCCTTTTGTGTTGTGGTGTTGTGAGGTTGTTAAGCTCCTTCATTTCTAGTTCTGGATCTGATTTCCAATGGATGAATACTTCTCTGAGCTCATCTGTTCTTAAATTGCAAGTTCTATATTTCAAATGTTTTATACTTAAAACATTAATCACATAACGTTATGTATGCCGCTGTAAGTGCAGTGTAAATGCATTCATGCCACCTCTGAGCTGCATTCAACAGTCCGTGTAAGTATACCTATACTACTTCAGATGCTGCTTCTGTGCAGTGCAAAAATGGATTTTGATTATACTTCATTTGATTGGTAATAGCCCTGAGACGTTTTATTATTCCAATTGCATCCTCTGCAGTGAATGGGTGCCACCATGAGAGTCCAAACCTCTGATAAATACTGGATTAGAGACTCATGTTGCATAATTTAGCCAGAAGCAATGGTTTAAAGGTAAGATGTTAATTGATGGACTGGATTACTTGTGGATTATTGTGATGTTTCTATCAGCTGTTTGGACTCTCATTCTGACGGCACCCATTCACTGCAGAGCATCCATTGGTGAGACACTGATGCAGTGCTACATTTCTCCAAATCTGATGAAGAAACAAACTCATCTACAAATCGAGTACATTTTCAGCACATTTTCAGTTTTGGATGAACTGTTCCTTTAAATAATCAGTTTTCTTCAAGGGTTTAAACAAAGAGATTGCATTTTTGTTTTTTTTGCAAAGACTTTCCCTCATTACTGCAGTCAGAGCCAATGCTGATCGTGATCAATAAGGCATGACTGCAACAATGAAGACCAACATGTAATCATTCACTGTAAGTATAGGATTGTTTTCATCTGATTTATTGCTTGAGATAGCAGCAGTTGTTCCTGCCTCACCAGCTCCACATACAGCATTGCTTCAATAATATTCAGAACATTCATCTAATCTTTCAAAAGACTCTAACAAAACACGGTTTAAGTCTTACCGAATGTCTTGAGACATTAATAACATAAAGTGATGTATGTGTTTTCTGTTAAAGTCTTCACAGAGCTGTGCGTTAGAAGCCGGTGAAAAGCTCACAAGTCATATTAATTCCTGAATGCGCTCCAGCGGCCTCGTCTGACTCCATCTGGAAACAATAGCACATGAAGAACAAGAAAAAGCTCTGACTCAGCGTTAGCGAAGCCGGATCATATCTGCTTCCTACGGCCAAGAGAGAAAGACAACACAGACTGTAATGTGATGGCAATGTGACACGCATCAGGTTTAATAAGAACTGCCATTTATAACAAATCCTGCATCCACTCTTCAGAATAACACTCGCTGTGGACCAGCGATTGCATTCATCTACTGCTGCTGTACAACAAATGCAAATACTGTAAAAGATGGAAGTCATTTGTGCGACGCAGCTCTCTTCAAAACCCACATGTGCAGAGTCTCTCCATCAGACCAAAGACAGATTTACAGTTCTTGGCAGTCGAACGGTTGCTAAAAACATCCCGCGAAGAGAGCTGACTTTGTTAAATGTGACACTTCTTACAGTTCATTAAACTAGTTTAATTGGCATTTTGTTTTCCTCGAAAATAATGAAACCCAAATACGTAACAGTACTGTGAAGGCACGATAACGCATACAAAAATAACCAATCGTGCAACTATACCCAAAAGTTAAACAGGAACACAAAAGCCGTATAACACAACATTACAGCAGAAGAGCATTCTGGTATATTGCAGTATTGTTAATAAATAAGAGAATTAATATCAATCATACAAAAGCGTCATGTTAATTTAAAACCCCTGTTATGCAACAGCTGCTCGGCTGCCATTAATATCAACATATAGCACCAAAAATGAATGTAGCTCTACTACACGACACCATATTCTCCCTGCTGCCACTATGAGACGCATTAAGCCCATTTATGTGTTTCACGTGAAATTATGAGGCATGTTCATGGAAAAACATAACACATGTCCATGCATTTGAAGCTCCGTGACAGATAATGAAAGGAGTCCTCACACCCTCACTGACACGCTATGGCCTCCAGAGGGCTTTGTTGGTGGTGTCATTTCCTGCAGAGAGCGACACGCTGTCAGTCTCGCCGGTATCGGCCGTGTCATTCTCCAGACAAACAAGCCACTCTGAGTCTTTAATAATGTCTTTGTGTTCAGTCCGTGTTGAGTGCAGCACTAGAGAGGGCATGGCTCCGCTCCATCCAGGGCTCAGAAGGTCACGGTTAAACATCTCGAGAGGTTCTCACGGGTTCGTGTGCGAGCAGGACTTGCAGCATTGCTTCCCGTAGAACTTGTGGTTGCAAACGCCGTGCTGCGGCACCAGATAACACCAGCTGAAATGATCCTTACAGACCACATCTGCACAGAGAAACACGGATGTTACACAGTAGCTTGGGGTACATGTCGGTCACACTTTAGTTTGGGGAGCAATTATCACTATCAACAAACCATTAACTACGACTTTTGCCTCAGTAAACTCCTAATTAGCTGCTTATTTATAGTTAGTAAGGTAGTTGTTAAGTTGGGGTTTATATGGATTAAGGAATCTAAAATCTGCTCAGGCAGAATAAGGCATTAATATGTGCTTTATAAGTACTAATAAATAGACAATATGCTAGTGATAGGCATGCAAATAAGCAACTAGTTAATAGTGAGCATTGCATGTTCTGTGTTCGTTTTGACCACTTCATTTCAACCGATTTGTAAATCCCAAACAAAAAATTAGATATTGAGCAGAAATCTTGTTTTAGTATTATATGCTTTTTTTTTAGTATTATTATTATATGCTATTATAATATTTATTAATATTCTGAATGAGCTTTTCATTTAAGCTCATTTTTTCAAAAAAAAAATTTTTCATTTAAGGTTTAGTAACTTAGTATGTGTGCTTTTGTCATTTTTAATTTTTTTTATATTTCTATTTAGCTTTATTTTCATTGCGGTTTTAGCAATTTGAACTTATTTTTAGCTTAGTTGTCAAGGCCACATTTCTAATTTTCGATTAAGTAAAATGTTTAATCTAATATTCATATTTTATTTCAATTAGCAAAAACACTTTTTTAATATTTAGTTAATTAAAACACCAAAACATACTATCAATAGTACAAATGTCAATTCTCTCTCTCTGTCTCTCTCTCTCTCTGTCTCTCTCTCTCTCT